CTCTCTCTCTCTCTCTCTCTCTCTCTCTCTCTCTCTCCCCAGGTCGAAATGAGAATGAATCTTCTGCGATAACGCGGAAGATTCATTCTCATTTCGACCTTGGGGGGGGAGAGAGAGAGAGAGAGAGAGAGAGAGAGAGAGAGAGTTTGGCTGACGCCCTCTCTCTCTCTCTCTCTCTCTCTCTCTTTCTCTCTCTCTCTCTCATGAGAATGAATCTTCCTCTTTATCAAGGAAGATTCATTCTTGTTGGAAAGGTCAGATTTCGTTTGTTTGTTTTTTTTGCAGAATGTTGTATGTTTTTTGAGACACTGGCTGACACCCTCTCTCTCTCTCTCTCTCTCTCTCTCTCTCTCTCTCTCTCTCTCTCTCTCTCCCGGAATGAATCTTTCTCTTTATCAAGGAAGATTCATTCTCGTTGGAAAGGTCAGATTTCGTCTTTTTTTTTTTTTTTTTTTTTTTTTTTTTTTTTTTTTTTTTTTTTTTTTTTTTTTTTTTTTTTTTTTTTTTTTTTTTTTTTTTGTGTCCTACCGGTTGTCCGAGGCTCGGCAATAAAGTCCGAGGCTTGGGAATGACCGGGCTACCGGTAGTCTGAGCGACGGGCCTTAACAACCGATAGGTACTGGTGGTTTAAGAGCGACAAGGCAAGTAGAGTCTGACCCAAAAATAAATCACCCTCGTTTGTCGAAAGGGTGCTCCGCACAATCAATTTCAGTCCAGTTTCTTCTCCTGTAACTGAGGGAGTTTAGGCAAGTCATTGAACTTGAAAGTGCAGGCCATTCTCTAATTACCGTTGGCCATTTCTGATTCATTTGCTGACAGTTGTGGTCAGTCATTCCATGCTCCTGCTGCATGCTCATTGATGTCTGTCGTTATGCCCTCACTTCTTCTTGTCGCTCTTGTGCATAGTTTTGTAATTGATCTGTTTACAGAAACCTTTCATCTCACGGTATAGCATTGCGCACATGCCCCTGCTGTCATACTCAGATGGTGTGCACGCTCAGTGCGGTTCACTGCTCCCCCCTCCCTGGCTTCTTTTGCATCCTTGTGTCTCAAACAAACTTTGCTTGCATGCCTTCCCGTCCCTCCGTTCTCCATGGTTTTCTTGCCACAGAGGACCTCTTTTTACTCACTCTACTACCCCATTCACTCTTGCTCCTATACATTCCAGCCTTGCTGCACTCACTCTACTAACCCATTCACCCTCTCTCCTATGTACTGCAGCCTTGCTGCTTTTTTTCTGTTCTCTCGTCCTCGCTCATCTTTCTTCTCGGTGTTGTCTTTATTGTCATGATGGCAATTGACTCTGCGACTCTGCGATGCTCTATTCCCCTGGCCTATCGTGCTCCCATATCTCTTTCTCCTATGCCTCTGTGGTGGGGTAAATCATACCTTTCTCCAGGGAGGGGGAGGTGGGGGGGAGGGGGGGGGAGGGGGGCCTACTGACCAGATGGAAAGGTATGCTGGTGTGCTACCGTGTCCTATGTGCCTCGCTCATCTCAGCCCCCCTTTTAGTTCTGGCGAGGAAGAGGACATGCTGGCCTTGTGGTTGTGTGGGTGCAGGTGAGAGTTTTGCCATATGCCTATGGCATGACTATGCATGCAGTTGATGACCAACAACAGACATATCCCCATTGGTTTTGAAGCAACCGAGCCCCTTTCTCTAGGTTTTCAAGGAACCAAGACCCTTTCTCTAAATTTTCTGGCACCTGTGCGTAGGGCCTCATGTCATTATATCGGTGGATGGAGTTGCATGTAGTTGAATGAGTCGGTGCACATCATGAAATGGTGCGCACGCACCATTGTTGTGATTCTGTGATAAACTGGGACTCTGTCAGTGAATGGTGTACGTAATGCGGCATGTGACTTCCCAATGCCGCGTTGTTGTCTTGTTATAGCGCGGGCCTAACTCAGGATGTTTTGTTGCCTCGGTATTGTGTTGTGCTGTGCTGAGCAGAGAGGTGGGCGTGGAGGAGATTCTTGATGTGTTGCGAGATAAGCATGACCCACGGGACCGCATTGCACTTGCGCACACATGCGGCATCCCACGGATTCTGATGGGATTCCCTGAGTTATTACAGAATGTACAGTGATGTGAGAGCCAATGTCTACTTGCCATTTTTAAGGATTCCTTACTACCTTTTTTTTATATATAATTCAAAGGTCAGTTGGTTTTGCTTTACAGATTGGTATCCCTTATGTCCTCCCTGGGTGGATGTCATTTGTGCCCAAAATCTGGGCTTATCTTCCTTGTGTGCTGTCTGCTTATTGTTCGAGTACCACATCACGCAGTGTCTTGCTACAGGTCTCTTCCTTCAGCACATGCAGTTTGAAATGCGCCCAAACAAAGATCATCGTGTGGTTCATTTTGGGGCCACAATAGGTTCAATCCTATTTTGATGTGTTGTTAGGAAAAATTGTGTGTGTGCGCGCGCGCGCGCTTGTGTATGTGTATGTGTATGTGTGTGTGTGTGTGTGTGTGTGTGTGTGTGTGTGTGTGTGTGTGTGCATGTTGTAAATGTGTTAGGACTGTTAACAGGTCTTCCTCTTTTGTAAATGTGTAAGATCATCCATACAGTTTGTATATCTGTGCAAAAAAGGAAGGATATGTAAGTTCACTTGGGGCATGGCATGGAAGACGGGAAGGATGGCGGCATGGAAGACCGGAAGGAAGGAGGGAGGATCTGATGGGAGGGTAAGCCTTGCAGGTCAAGGCGAGGAAATAATAAGTCGGCGCAGCAGTTATGCTGCTGTGGAGTAAATTTGCTGGTTCTTTAAACTTCTTTTGACTTTGGCACAGCAGTTCTGCTGCTGTGAGGTAAATTTGCTGGGTTCTTTTGGTGGGGCAACTTGTGAACCCATTTGCCTGGGATCTCCAAGGGGGATGAGGATGTATGTGAATGAGGAGAATGTTCAATGTATATTGAGCGGACGCCGGGCGGTCTTAAATTTGGGTGCTACCTACCTACAGATATTTCATAGTTCAGCAATACACTAAAACTTGAGCTTGCCGGGTGGGAAAGGATACAATGAAGAATCCTTTCTAGCATGTTCAACTGTGCAATAAACAGTCTTTGGTAATTGCTCTGCGCTCTTCTCTGCTCTTCTCTGCTCTTCTCTGCTCTTCTCTGCTCTGCTCTGCTCTTCTCTGCTCTGCTCTGATCTGATCTCCTCTGCTCGGCTCTGCTCTGCTGCAGAGAGATTGTGTCCAGATTTGAAGGACGTCAATTGACAGCATTTATATTTGCAGAAGGTTGTCTGTTGAAAACTTCGTACTCGGTACACAGGCATCAGAGGGGCAGCCGTGGATAACTTTTTTTTTTTTCAAAAGGGCGACGGTCTTGAGATCTAATCATTCAACTGACCAGCCCTAGATTATCGAGAATTGTCGTATTTTGTTCATCCGCTTCATGTGGAGTACGAACTCAGGTCTGTATTTCAACAGTTGATGGGGTGTGCCAACTGAGCTAGGCCAGTTGTTTTCGGCTGACAAGCTGAAAACATTCTTTTCGCGTGCTCTTAAATCTTTGAGACACTTTTTTTGTTTGTTTGGATTTCAATATAAGGGTGGCATTTCCCATCGCCGAGTGGGAAGCATCCGAGCGTTGGTTGAAAATAAGGGTGTCGATATAAGGGTGGCATTTCCCATCGCCGAGTGGGAAGCATCCGAGCGTTGGTCGAAAATAAGGGTGTCGATATAAGGGTCCACTTTGATGCTTTTCCTGTTCTCATGCTGGAGTTTCACAGTCCTCTCCTGTATTGCACATGCTTGGAGGTGAGAATGGGAACAGTCGTTTTTGAGGCGCATTTCTGGAGTGAATATTAAGCCATTGGTTTAATTAACTTTAATATTATAGTTTTATTTGCGGTGATGGTTGGGGACAGAGTAAAAGGGGGCAAAACTGAAAGCTAACTTGGAAGAATTTCAGAGTGTTCATCAAAAAGATGGGTGCGGTTTGCCTCCTCCAGCGCCAGTCCTGTTTGGCTGTGGGTCCCACTCCTCTCCTGTATCGTACATGCGCAGGGGCGGGCGAAGCCTGTTTCTGAAGTGTGCATCAGCAATTGGTTAAAATTATAATAACCATTTTATTTATTTATGGTGGTGGTTGGTTAATATTATAATAACCATTTTATTTGTGGTGATGGTTGAGGATAGGGAAAAGGAGGCAGGACTGGAGAAATTTTAAAATTCTATTCTGAATTTATGTTATTGGCATTGTGCACTTTTTTATTCCTTTGTATGTTCCTCCTTCATTATCATTTTTAAGTTGTAAAATAATATAAATATATTTCGGTTAAATTCGGTATGACAGACCTTTCTTTGTTTCGTGGGTGTTTTGCTGGCTTGTGATGGGGTGTGAACCGACAGTGTAGAGTTTTCCATCTGGTGTGGGTGAGTGATAGTCTACTTTGATTTTGGTTAAGGTGGATTATCACTTACAGTGTAATCAGTGAGGGGATTCTACAGACTGTTGAGGGTTCAGCCTCCTGATGAGTCGGTGAAACTCCGACGAAACAGTTTGTCACAGCCCCTCGTTTGTTGTCCTCTTCTCCCTCTCTGCCTACGGTTTACCGGGCAGTTCTATTTGACGATATATAGATATATATATGTCCTCTTCTCTCTCTGTGCCTACGGTTTTGATGAGTCGGTGAAACTCCGACGAAACAGTTTGCCACAGCCCCTCGTTTGTTGTCCTCTTCTCTCTCTCTGCCTACGGTTTACCGGGCAGTTCTGTTTGTGACGATATATATGTCCTCTTCTCTCTCTCTGCCTACTGTTTACCGGGCAGTTCTGTTCGTGACGATATATATATGACGATATACATCGGACGACACATATCCTGATGAGTCGGTGAAACTCCTCGAAACAGTTTGTCACAGCAACTTGTTTGTTGTCCTCCTCCCTCTCTGCCTACAGTTTACCGGGCAGCTCTATTTCACTATATATAGTATGTAGTATGTACACTATTATACAGTATTATATTCATGCCTGGATTTAAATTCACTTCAGGATGTCCTACAAGGCAGGGTTTCTGGCGACCAATAGGCATGCTGCGGTCTTGGGAGTCTGACCACAGTTTTTATGGAGTGGCTTTATGTAAGTGAACTTGATTTATACAGACCATCCCGTGAGATAAGTGGTTGTTCGGTGGCAACCGTCGAAAGTTTGAAACTCTGTCTGGTGTGTGAGTTAGTCTGATGGGTTGGAGGTGGAATTTATCTGATGGGTTGGAGGTGGAATTTATGTACTAAAGTTCCAGGTATCTGTTCACTTTTTTGAAGTTTTTTCTTTTTTTCACTATTTTGAACAGTGAACTGAGTACCGGGTTTCGTAGTATCTGTTTATCTGTTCACTTTTTTGAAGTTTTTTTTTTTTTCACCATTTCGAACAGTGACCCAAGTACCAGGTTCATAGTATCTGGTTACTTTTTTCCTTTTTCGCCATTTCGGTCAGTGAACTAAGTATCAGGTTCATAACCTGACCTCAGTACGTTAACAACAGTTTCGGACAGATGGAATCTTTCGCAGAAAGCTGTACGGTGCTATTACGTGAACTCTGCTGTGTCCACTCCGGGCAGTATAGGCATGTTACACCAGGTGTTAAGGCAGGGGCTCATGCTGCCCTTACATTTCTGTGGGCCTGTGTTTTTTTGGTTATTTGCTCATCTGAGAGTTATAATCAATTATTGGCATGGTTCCTTGGCTCAGACATCCAGAGAACTACTATGACTGGGTCTGTGTGCTATGATGAAATGGAGGAGGAATAGTTTGGTTGGGTGAATGAATGGGTGCAAGGTCAGGCATGGGGAGTGGGCGAGGTTTCCTCAACGGGTTGTCCTCGAACAGGGAAGTGTGTTCTTTTGTAAGGCTGTTGATCTTCATTGAGTGTCGTTGTGGCTTGCCTCACAGCTTCACGCGAACAGAACGCAAGAGCAGTGGGACTGTGCAGAAGTCACCATATGCTGTTTGATATACAATTATGAATGCTTGCGCACAGCTGTGGCTGCGTTTCTGGCCTGTGTTCTTTCTGCTGATCAGTTGCTGTCAAGGTCCTGCACAGTTGGTTGGGTCAATACCTGCATTTAATCAGTGCACCGGCATGATGCAGTGAAGTTGGTCCTGCAATTCTGTCCATCGACCTCATCGGATTTGACATGCGTGTTCCGTCGTCATATTCACAATCTATCAGGCTTGATGGAAGTCGACCGGTTGCTTGAGCTTCACAACCTTCTTTTTCTAGGAAAGGCAGGTCTGGCGAGGTAATGGCAGTGCTGATGACTAGCAATGTATTGTGTCACGCGGAGACTGAAACACAGTAGCAAGATTGAGGAACTATAGGGGAAGGCCAATGGCAGCAAAATGATGACGTGACAAGATCCGAGTCCAATGCCCGCCATGGAGAAGGAATTTGTTGGCCATAGTCCCCGTGCAGAAGAACTGATCTCGAGCCAGGAAACACAACCGTTTGCTGTGCTTTATCTTCAACGACGTGGAACACACTCGCATTTCAACACCTATGGTACCCATGCAGGAAAACCGATCTCGAGCCAGGAAACACATAGTACCCATGCAGAAAAACTGATCTCGAGCCAGGAAACACATAGTACCCATGCATAAAAACTGATCTCGAGCCAGGAATTCGAAACTTTACCGTAGGACAAGAAGGCAAACTGAGACACATCGTGTCGTGCTCGCACAAAAACTTTGGATGCAGTCATTTCCATCATACCGTCACCGGCATTTTGAGTGTATTGGACTGGAAGGCTAGCGTCTATGCATTGATACTGAGGGTGTGTTGTGTTCGGGGGAAGACGGTAGTGCATAGTCAAAGGAAACAGAGGTCCGGTGAAGTTGAAAGGACAGTAAATGAGCTGACCGGAGGTGGGACGGAAATGAGAAAGTTGTTTATTGTAATTTGTTGTAGGCAGAATGCACGCGTCGTGGACGTATTCAGGGCATAGAAGAAAACATGAGCGACCATACGCCTGCTATTGGTGTGGTCAGGTGCCTATCCTTGGACGACTGGTCATTGGGTGATGTGTTCATCCGGAAGTCTTTTTTGAGGGGAAGGGCGTTTAAATGAAAAGATAACTCTTGACAGTGGTCTGTAAGATGCTGTCAAAGGCGCTCGCTAAACGGATAATTGAGGTGTTGGAGGACCAGGTGCGTCTGTAGCAGACGGGGTTCATTCGTAATAGAAAATTTCAAGAAAATAATAAAAATATACTCCCGATGCATGATGTGGTTGATTTGGCACGCAGATCTAAGCGCAACGCAGCTCTGGTATTCGTTGATTTTGAGCAAGCCTACGACCATGTCGAATGGACCTTTTTGGATAAATGTCTCGATAAGCTGAATTTTGGATCGGCGTTTCGAAGACAGATTAGGATTCTGCACCAGAATGCTACCACCAAAGTTCAGATGAACGGTTTTTTAGCTCTGGAGATCAGACTGCAAAGATGAATTAGGCAAGGCGACCCAATGGCTCCCTTCCTATTTGTGTTGATAATGGAGGCCCTATCAGCCAACTTGCGGAGCAGCAGGAACCTGACTAGGATTCATTTATCCGGAATTCCGGAGGAAGCTGTCCCGGTGTGCTCGCTTTTCGCCGACGACCTGACAATAATGACAGATGCAACACCTTGGAACATGGAGGAAATTCAGCGGCCAATGAACAGGTTTTGCGCTCTCAGATATGACCATCAACTTAGGGCAGAAGACCATGGGATGGTGGATCCATCACCAGGGGGGTCGCCCCCCGGATGAACTACGTAGTACATGGATCTCTCAGGATGCGTCTGTCTGGGTACTGGGGGTAGAGATGACGGCGCATGGCCGTCCACTTTACAATGATGAGTGGATCACGGCCCCAGCGCTTGCCAAATTTTCCCAGTGGGACCATAAACACACATCCCTTCTTGGGAAGTCTCTTGTAATTAACAATGTGGTTCTAGCCACCCTATGATACAAGACCGTCCTATGGCCAGTTAGCGAGGAGCCCCAAAAAGCTCTTAAGTGAAAAGTGGCCTCCTATTTGTGGAGAGGGGATACTCTAAACACCAGCGCCACGATCAGAGGGTAGCATGTGACTCGGTGGTCCAGCCCAAGTTCCAGGGTGGTCAAGGTATTTTGGACCCCCCTATGCAGATCCAGGCCCTGAGCCAATTATGGATTGTGCGTTTGATTTTCAGAACGTCTTTGCAGTGGAAGCCGCTGGCCATAAGGCAGATTGCACATCTTGCCCCTCAAGCTCTGCCGGCAGTGGATCCGCTGATGTGGTTGGATGATAGATATTGGAAGGTCATGAAAAAAGTCTCTATGGGGAGACCATGAGAGGCCCTTTGGCCTCGGATGATTAAAATATGGAGAAAGCTGCCCCCCCCTGATCGCCCACCCCCGGAGCGATGGGAGGACGTGGCAAGACAGCCTCATTGTGAACCCGTGGATTACAAATTCCCAGAGTCAGATTTTTCGTAGTACAAACTCTCCGTGGAGAGGATGGGTCAAAAATGAGATCACCGAAGTGGGGAACTTATGATGGGAGGATTCCAGCATGGACCTGAGAACACCAGAGGAAATGGAGGAAGGCTCCGCTACTCCCACAATACTGAAGCAGCCCTTTGAGGAACTCTTGGAAGCCTTCCCTTTGGGTTTGGGTTGGCACCCTATCCTGCGCAGGGGCCCACAGTTGCAGGAGGGAGATAGGGTGGCTCGCGAAGATGCTGCTTCACGGGTGGGGTTAATCTGTCTGGTAGGTCCAGAGGATGTCCTGGTGAAAGGGTACAGGGTGGGAAGGGACGGTCAGTTAATAGGTAGCACAGAGCCCTTCGTATGGACCCCGAAGGGCCAGCTGCAAAGAGTAAGGGTTTATAGCGATGGGGAAGGGAGAAGGGCTTGCAGGTCT